TATGTATGTATGTATGTATGTATGTATGTATGTATGTATGTATGTATGTATGTATGTATGTATGTATGTATAAGAGCCACATGTGGCCCCAGAGCCGCAGGTTGCAGACCCCTGACATAGGCCTACATATGGCCACTTGTTAAAAGCATGCACCATATCCCTCCTTCTCATCAGCATCTTTCCTCTTTGCCTGTTCTTTTTTGTCTGAACTGTCTATGCCTCCCTTTTTTATTAAATAAGTAAATGAAATAAAACATRGCAACACATTACTGCTTTGGTGCACTTTAATGTTTTTATACTGCTGTGGCACATTCAGATTCAGACTTGCAGGCTCCAAATCTTAATATGGGATGTATGGGTCGATGTTGGTCCCTATAACTAATTCACTCAGCTTATAAAAATTTACTCACTAAATAAGTGTTGATACCAAAAACTGCACATTTTCTCCGTGTAATATCAAATACGCAAATGTTTAAGAACATCTTATATGAATAAAATCTGCCAGTTTTTTTCCCTGGTTTATAACAGAACATGCATGCACACAGACAGGAAAAACATTATTTTCCTTTTACCTTCAGTGGCAGGTATTAAAAACAAAAGCAGCAAACAAAATGTGGCGTCCTGAGCGTACTGTGATTTGCTATTTTACTAAACTCGTCAGTGTTTCACGAGTCAATTATTTATATTATTGACGCGCTATCGCTTATGCGACCAGTAGGGGGCGGTAATGCACACCACACGAACCGCTAACAAACCCCAGGAAGTAGAATCTCGTACGCGGTAAATTCATGAGTGGACGACATTTTGGAGAAGTCGAGCAACCATAAAAAATGCCTACACACTGTGCAGCATTGGCTTGCACGAACCGTCGAGGAAAATGCTCGAAGACAATAACATTTCATCGGTAAGTGTTTAACACGTTTATGTTTGTTTTATCTCTGGCTACTGCCAGAATCAACCTGCACTGAGCACTGTGCAGTGCAGTCTTCACCCTGCATTAACTGGATATAAAAAAGCTTTACGATCACGAACTTCTATGATTTTGGTGAAAGAGTCGCTGTTTTTCCACGGAACTGTGCTCCACATCAATTCGGCTTGCTGCTCTTGCCACAAATATTTTGGGAATTGGAAATTACACGAAACGAGCCCGTGACCACCGCCATCTTTGTTTTGCGCAAAGCATTGTGGTCCAGTTTGTGTCACTATCACGTGACTTTGTATGTAAATACGACGACGCCATTTTGAAACAGTCTTTCAACAACAGACGCGCAATGCCGTGCCATTGTGCAGCATTTGGTTGCACGAATCGTCGAGGAAGATGCCCGAACACAATAACATTTCATCGGTAAGTGTTTTTTTTCTTTTTCGTAGTAATAAAGCTATGTTTAGCAACATGTTTATTGTCATAATYAATCTGTACTGACGAAACATGGCTCAATATCAGTTGGCTGCATGAATGCTGCCACTGCTAGAGTAGAGTTAAACTTTGTGTTTGTGTTTCTGTTAACTCACGGTCTGACATTAAAACATAGACAGACATGTTTTAATTGTGGCAAAAAATATTTCTTCATCCTCCAAATACATTTAAATCCACAAAGAGTTGAATTGGACAGTAAGAAAATTGCACAAAGTTTCACCAACACAAAAACTCTGTCTCAGTATTTGAAAAACAAAATCAGGAAARCACTCTCAAACTTAAGTTTTTAGTATGATGATAATAAGATAATTGTTATGACATTGTTGCACATCTGTTTTTTTAAATACCTACTTATTAATGTAGGTGTAAAGGCAAATAACCAGACTGTTGTGCCTAAAGTGCAGTGTCTGTGGCATAACTATCTTTAATTTCAGTGTGACCCAATGACCCTGCAATTAACTCCATATGAAATTATTTTTGAAAGTTACACTGACTAATCATTTTCTCTCACAGCTTTCCAAAAGATGAGAACTTGAGGTGTTGATGGGCAAAGGCACAGAAACATGTGGCAAAATTACACTCCTCATAARTTAAAAACAAGTCAGTTCATCAGAAACTGAAGCTTATCCTGTTTAAAGGGCAGTAATTAAACTATTAAAAAACTAAATATAAAACAGTGGACTTGCTTTTACTTTCAAAAGGATTGTCATTGTTCTTATTGTTCAAAATGTATTTTTATTTTATTATTTTTAATTATGTTTTCAAAATGATGCTATATGCTTTGGTTTATGTCTTCAATTTTTATTTAGTCTACTTTTTTGACCTGCTATGAACAGGTTGTCATCGAAAATAACTTTTTTCTTCTTTTTTTCTGTTGAACTTTGTGGTAAAATAAAGTTGTTGTTGTTTTTATCATTGCATCTGTCTGTAATTATGTTATGCAGTACATGTAACATTGGGCTAATCCTAAACAAACAAACAAAAAAAACAAACACTTTTTTTTCCATAAGTACTCAGCATTGTTTACATCATTCACAAAACCCTGTGCCTTTTAAGAGGACTGTTCCAAGATGGCATAGCGCTCTGCACACATTAKCCAATGCTTGATCAGGGTGTCATAGTATATACATCATTGTATAAGCTTCTAACTAGTTCTGTGCAGTGCCAAACATTAGCTATATTTAAATAAAGGCTGTGTCTAAATTCTGGGGCTGCATCCTCTTGTGTGCACATTTACTGCTTCGCGCCGAGTGCTGAGCTCCGACTCATGTGGCTGAGGAAGGCGGCCCACAAAATTTAGAAAACCAAGGATATATCAGCGTACAGCGTATCCTTACTGGCCAAGAATATCCCAGGATTCATTGTGCCGACAGCAAGCTAAATAGAGAAGTTTGGAAGTTCTTCATGGACCAAATAATTTGTTTTTAAAAGTAATTTAGCAACTTAGCTGATGAAATTCCTGCAGCAATAAGATGTTAAATAAAAAAAATGTAACTACAAGTGCTGATACTGGAGCTAAACCTGAATTATAGTTTTTTTAATGTGCAATTTTTTAATTGTGAAGTTTTTCTTCCAGTAAAAAGACGTGTAAATACATGTCCCAGCGAATTTTAGGTCTGACATGAAACCGATCACTGTGGTAACCGGGGAGTGAGTGGTCACGCAAACCTACATCAAGCGAAGGCTAGACCGTCTCATTTCACAGCAGTTTCCTGCAGCCTACCTGGACTGGGAAGGACGTGGCCCAGCTGGGCTACGTCCTCATGAGGATCCAGCCCCAGCCCATGAATTGGGACACAGTCATAGTGTGGGACCCCATGACACTGCCAATAGCTTCCTATTAAATTACCTTTATGAAAGTTAAACTGAAWACTGATACTTGCTTGTTGCAGGTTTCCAAAAGATGAGAACCTGAGGTTACTGTGGGCAAAGGCAATGAATCGAGTGAAGAAGAAAGGRTGGTTGTGGCAGCCAGGGAGAGGGAACTACTTGTGCTCTGAACACTTTAAACCTGAAGACTTTGACAGAACAGGCCAGACAACAAGGCTGCGCCAAAATACTGTGCCATCTGTGTTTCAGTTTCCTCCACACTTGCAGGTATGTAACTTTATGCAACAGTACACTGCTAATCATAAATGCTATTCTGACAAAGCATACCTCTATGTAGTTTACAATAATCTGGCACAGGAGACTGGTTAGTACTTAGTAATCACTGCTTTAGGGTATCTTCAGTGGATGTAGACCAGGCATGTCCAACTCCGGTTCTCAAGRGCCGGTCTCCTGCAAGTTTTRCATTTGTCCCTGCTTCAACACAGCYGATTCAAAGAGATGATTTACCTTCTGTTTGYCATCAAGGYCTGCAGAGRCCCACTAATTAAGCAYTCCTTAGTTTCAGCTGTGTTGAACCAGGGCAGCACCTAAAACATGCAGAACACCGGCTCTTCAGGACCACCTTTGGACACCACTGACATAGACCAATTGAACTGTTGTATTTCTGTTTAAATCCATGATGTTACAATTGTCATACAGTGAAGCAACCTTGAAATGCATGAGAACTGACCGATTCTATGCAAGTATAACCTGAAGATCCTGATATTACATAGTCAGCATGGCTTGATAATGATAAATATTTTTTTTTGCAGAAGAAAACTCCAAAAAAGAGAACCTCGTTGAACAGCACTATTGGCAGGCTGCAGGCACGTGATAATACATCACCATCATCACAATCTAATCAAACATTTGCTGACCAGTCTAGGTCTGTGGCACAGGTAGGTTGTAGTGACAACTGACTCGTCTTATACCATGAGCATAACCTTAAGACCAAAGTCCAATAATCTATTGATATTACGGTACATAGTTATTGTGGCTTTGTAATGATAAATATAATTGTTTCCAGAAGAACACTGCACCACAGAGAATTTCATTGAACAACACTATTGGCAGACTGCAGGCAGACGTTCCATCACAATCTAGACATCAGACATTGGCCGACCACCGTAAATCTGTGGCGCAGGTAAGTTGTATATAAATGCTACTTTATGAACTTGAGTTAGGTGATCTTAAAAGCGAGGGTGGGCACTTTGTGCTGCTGTAGTTGTGTAGGCTTATTGATGTAGCACAGACACGCTGATAATGTTTAGGTCTCTCCTGATGATTCAATGGACAGCTTCTAGCTGCATAGTTCTGTGTTATTAACAGTTATATACACAATAGCACTAAGATTAAAACCGTTATATTTTGTAGGATCATGCTTACCAGCTGCCAGACGCTGCAGACTTAAAACTCCGACTTGAAAAAGCCAACCTTATGCGACAACACCTGGAGAAAGAATTAAGAAACGCAAGGCGACGCGAGAAGAGATGTAACCGTTGAATCGCAGGAGAAAGATGTCATCACTGAAGACTTCAGAGCAAAGCTAGAATCACTTGCAGGTACATCAGTAAACGTGACATCTTTCATGTTATACGTGCAATGTTTTAATGTTTGATACTAATATATAATCTTATCTCTTTGTTATGATAAAGTACATGTAAATATGGTCTCATCTTAACCACAAAAACTCTATTTTGCAAGTACTCAACATTGTTTACAACAGTGTGCCTAGGACTGTTTCTAGGTGGTGTTGCTTTCTGTGCTCATTAGTCAATGMCTCTCTGGACCTGCACGTCTCTAGAACATGTCATTGGCACGAGCTAATAAAATGACCAATCATGTGGATCAATTTTGAATGAGTCGTTGCAATGGTGTGGCTGTCAAGTAGTACAGCCTATGTCACAATGTATGGCCATACCACTTGACTTTTCAAAACTGTGCTTGTGTCTCAGAGCGCATGTACCTTATATATCAGGGCTATTCAACTAAACTGCTCCGGTGGCCACGGTTACTGCAGACCAACAGCTCAGGGGCCGAACATCCAGCAATTACAATCATTATGTAAATAATCCAAGTATTACAAAGCTGTTACCTTTGAAATAGTTTATTTTGCTGTATTTAATCATGAATACAACATACAGAACCCTGTAAGTGGTGATAATAAAACAACAAAAATAACACATTGTTAATCACTCATTCATTCAAACCAGGTGTGTCAAATCARGGAAATATCTAAACAAGGAGTCCTTGAGGACTAGGGTTGAGAATCACTGCTTTAATACATGTTATCTGATTTATTTTTTACAAATAAATGGCTAAGAATCAATGGCTTCCTGTGGCAATACTATAAAACATAAAACTAGGTCAATATTATATTTTGAAAATGTCTCGTCAAGCTCAGAGAAGCTCTTGAGGTGTTGGTCAACATTTAAAGCAGTGATTTGTAGATGTTTCCCTGATTTGAATGAGTGATTAACAATCTTCTGAAGACCTGCTGAATAGCAGGGAAACAAGTAAAACATGCTGGATACTGGTACTTTAGGACCAGGGTTGGGAACCACTGATCTACTGCATGAAACTTTCCTACTCTTCAGCTTCTGTTTTTTAATTATGTACAGAAATTTCCCAGCTTCTGACTTGCAGCCAAACTAATTGTGTAAAACTCAGGTTTTAAATACTTCATGTGTTTTTGAGAATGGGTCCATTTGATGTTGCAGAAAGGTTCTCAAACATCCTGAAACACGCAGCCCCCTGCTGTGCACGTCTTTCTCTGCCTCAGCACCCGATCCAAATAAAACCTTTAATATCAGGCTTCTGCAGAACTCATTGACATGAGATAATTAAATCATTTGAATCAGGTGTGTGTGATGGAAACTTGTGTAGTCTGACAATGGGTGTGATTTGTGAACATTTTGTTTTATCTGCCAGCTGGCTTTGAATTGTTGAAATGTGAGCTCTATACTTTGAACTGGTTGTGAACGTAATAATAATAAAATACAGTATGTAGGGCTACGAGCTTTGAGGACAGGGATCTCTGGTGTAGAGGGGACTGGCTGTGTTATCCATACAAGTCTCCTTTAGCAGAGTCGTGTCAAACCTTTCAGCAGAAATGTTTCCATTCTGAGGGGATATTACCATAATTCATTTGGAAACTGGACTAATTGTTTTTTTCTAATTTCTTTTAAAGGTGGATTCACATTTGATGCCAAGATTCTACTCTGAGGTATGCATTTGATTTTTTTTCCACATGTATGACTTTATATAACATTCCATAGTTTTTGAATGTAAAGACAGAATTGAAAGATGTTTAAATTACTTCATCTTTACATGGTTTTGTATATAATGAATTATTGTACATGCTCCAACTGAATGAGGTAATTAATGGCATTTGTCTACCACTGCCTGTACTTATTTTATTACTCTTATTGTTGATTCCATGTTTGAGTGATTGTAACGTCACTTTACGTAATCTATCACCACCAGTTACTTTCATTATGGAAAATAATTTTTCATATTGCCTCTAAAATAAACTCAGTCATGCCTCTTTTTTTCCTAAAATATATCTCATTCACACTGCTTTGGAAGAATTATATTTAATAAATGTTTATAGATGCTTTATTTTATTCCTGTGACACATTTAGATTCTTCTTATAAACGGTGACTTGCAAGCTGCAAATATTAAAATGGGATATATGGATTAACTTAAATGTTGGCACAAGTTCACTCAAACTGCATCATTATATAGTTCTCATATTATAATCCAACTAAGTGTTGATACCAAAAACTACACATTTTCTCCAAGTTATATCAGGTGCAAATATTTCTGAAAATCTAGGATGAGTAAAAACTGCCAGTTTTTCAAGATTGTTGTATTTATTACAAAGAGTATTCACAAGGGATTTTAAAATAAATGAAACTATTATTTAGAAATAACTCTTACGATTACCACCGTGTCATTGTCCTTACAACAAACTCAAGCACCAAACAGATCTTKGCTTTTTATTGTAGTTGAGCTTTAGGAAATTTAAACAGAAGCTGCAACACCGATTCTTTTCTGGAGTTTAAGGAGTGTTTTGGTGGTAAATGCTAATTTATGATCTGAAACTGATTCAAACACTGATTGAAAATGTTTGGCTTACAAAATAAGAGTAAGTATGAAACAGCACATAATACGTTTACAACAATAAATACAGCTAACGTATATCGCTGGGGTATAAACTACCACACATCTACAGTCACTCAACAACAACTGAGTATGTGGGAAAAATGAGTGAAGATAAAATGTTAGGAATATGATTTTACAGATTTAAAAACATGAAGACTTAGGCAGCTAAAGTCTTTAGCTTTATTTTAAAACACGATACACCATGAGCTGAAACAAACCACACSTAACAAATGTTTTACCTAGCACTGATTTCAATCCTTGCAAAAACAAGAACACAGACAATATTTCAGAATATTTCAATAGAATCAGTGAAGCCACTGATCCAAGAACAGCAGAATGAATCATTAATTGCTTGATACACAAGAATAAAAATCCAGGGACCCCCTTCAAATGTAGGAAAACTTGACTCTAAAGAGACGGGCAGGAGTTATTTTATGTGTGTAAAGGTAAATGTCACTGTTACAATAAAGTTTTGTACACATGCAAGACAGAAATATTGTCTACATATGAACATTTTTCAAAATTAAAACTACAGCCAGCTTTTTCTATGTTTTTATTTGCATCGTCATCAATCTCAAAAACAAAAAGGCTCATTTAATCAGTACTTAGTTGTAAATGAGTTCAGGTAGAAGTTACAAAAAAAAAAAAAAAAACACAGAACTGCTGCATCATAAATTACATTTAACTGGTCTTCTTGCTGAAGAAAAGAGATCAAACCTTTTAAAAACAAGAGAATAATTTCAGGCGATGAAGTCCAGTGGTCTGTTGAATCCTCCCTTTCTGTTCATGTACTGCCTACAAAAAGATTTAAAAACACTGCATTATTGATTCCCTCACAACATTTGAGGCTACATCAATAGGAGTGTAGACTGCATGTGTAGAAACACCTGAGCTGATTGACTACAGTAACATGTTTTTGTAAACTTAGCAACTTAAATTGAGGCTCAAACAGCTGAAATAAGACTGAAAAAAAAAAACTTTATTTTTGCTAACTGTGCTACTTGCAGCTCTGTAAAGATGCTGCACAACCTACAAACTAATGGTTTTGTTTGTGTAAACATACCTGTATTTCCTCTTCATTGTAACGTTGACTGCGTGTGCATTAACTGAGCCATCAGTTTTCTTTCCCTGTGTAAAAACAATCACAGCTTTAACAGATCACAAACTGTTATAAATAAAATCATTTGTAATGCAGATGTAATGTTTTACAATCCATATAGAGGAATATCAAGATGTTAAAAACAACTGGTCAGAGTTTGACACTATTTGTTTGTTCCTGTCATCTATAAAGTGTAAAAAGCTTTGAAATAATCATACGAGTATCTTTAGTTGTGGAATACAGTGAACTGTTTAAAATAAATGGCGCCACCTTATGGCTGAACTGCACACTCACCTTGCTGGAATCAAATGATGAGAATCCCATCAGCTTCATCATCTCAATCTCCTCTTCTGTTTTGCCCTCCATGTCCTCCGCTGTCAAAACACAGGAATAACATAACTGACCAGGTTAACTGATCACAACTACAAAATATCCAAGACACTGAATAAATGCATTTTTGCATGGGCTTTGTTTAATACCAGAGATTTGAATGGGCTTTGATTTTTCTTTCCCCTCTTTGCGCTCATCATCACGCCTGTCTTTCTGTCTCACAGGAGACGATGAAGAGGAGCGATGACGCCTGGGGGGAGACCTGAACAAAGAACACAAAGACAGCTGCAGGACGGGTTATCAAGACTAATGAGAGATCAAACTGTTTTTATTTTTTGGTCCAAATTGTTTACAGTTGGATTGTTTTCTAAAGATGAAGACAAAAAAGGGATAAAATCTTTTGCTTTGACAATTAAACTTTCATTTACCCTAACATTTAGGAGATGAAAGTTAGTATTGAGTTTGTGTTTAAGCAATCACATTTTCCAGTGATAAAAAGAAAGCAAACAGGAAGTGATGACCGTACCTTGAACGCCTTCTATGTGGAGACCTTGAGCGACTTCTGCGGCGCTCTCGATCCCGATCCCTGGAGCGAGAGCGTTCCCTGTCCCTTCGCCTTCGCTCGTGCTCCCGTGAAGTTGAGCGAGATCGTCTTCTCTCTGACAGCAGGAAGGATAAATTAAAAAAAACACACTAACTGAAACATTTCACATGGCACCCTGGTATCCATGCATTGAAGTTCTCTAAACTATACTGTAAACTATTTTCTTCTAGAATTACCATAATTGTATTTTTCTGCAACTTATTTTGTTTGGTTTTGTTACAACTGATGTTTGCTCAACATGCATGGGAGTGAAAGAACAGACAATTTATGTAACTAATGAAAGAAAAAGTTGACCTAGTGAGGATTTGTTCATATTGTATTGATTCTCTTTTTATAATGTGTCATAGATTTGTGCAGAAAATAAAACATATCTTGATAAAATACAGACCATTTGATATCTTAATGTAGTTAGTTTTATTGAGCTCATAATCAGTTTCTGACTGAAACAGATTAAAGCTATGTGCTCCATCAGTTTAMATTAAATAAATTACCAGCTGAAACATTAACATTTAACTATTTGAATCTTTTATCCATTAATTTAGTTCAGAGCTTCGTGTCAAATATGTTTTSTTATGCTAAGTGAACTCGCATCAAGAGTCACATGAATCAAGAYAAGATTTTATGCAGACTGTATAGGAAAAGCAACACAAATGCAAATTCAAGCTGTTAATGAGAAGTGAATGTATAAGCAGGATATCTCAAGAACGTCTTCATTAACTTGATGAAAAGTTGAAATCAATAATGGTCRTAATTTTATTTGACACCAATAAATTCAAATTATTAACATCCTCGTCGAAAGAAACTGATGCACAGACCTAGAAATTTCTATTTGCTCTCAGAGACTCCACTGCGTTTAAACATTTCAAAAGACTGGTTAAAAGCATCATCGCATACATAAACACGTACGCTGACAATAAATGTACTTATTAATCCTAATGTAAAGTTGGAAACAACGTTTTCAGAACAAAACAGTGGACCAACATGTAGCCTGAAGCTAACATTTCTTACCTCGTCTTGGAGGAGTTCGACTCCGGCTTCGACCCATTTCTCCAACAGCTCAAACGATACCCTCGTTAATGAATAAGTAAAGTGACAACRAGATTTAGTTTTTTGAGAGAATTTAAGATAAAAGTATTTGTGCGAATCGTTGATTATTTATGTTGAAAGCTAGGCCCTTCAGTGTGCTTTGATTGGTTGATGGTCACCAACTTCCGCTACCGGTGCTGTTGTAGAGCGCCCCCTGCTGACCCGTATGATCGCGACGCTTTGACCGCTTAAAGAAAACCAAAACATTCACTTACAGCATTGCATTCACCAAACCCTGGTTCATCAAAGAGTAAATCTTTTTACTTATTTTCTCCTAATTATGAGATTTTATCTCGTATTGAGTTCAGGTATCTAATTGTTTTTTCTTGATGAATTAAAGATTCTTCTGCAGTAGGCTGCTTAAGCTTTGCTTTATTTTATTTTATTTTATTTTATTTTATTTTATTTTATTTTATTTTATTTTATTTTATTACTCTGTTTGATGATGAATATGAACATTTAGACAGCCAGCAACTGATTGAGTGATCCAAACACAATCCTTTGTTGCAGCAGAATTTTTGTACAGAACAAAATCATTCAACATAAATTTCCACTGAGACACAATTCATCTATTCATCCATATATCCAATCATGCTATAAAATCCTGAAAAAACAAAGCTACCCTCTTTCAGTAAAGAGAATCAGCTCAAATCAAATTGTCTACAGGGCTCTAGATCTGGGTGTGGCTGGAGATGATCTGATGATCAGAGGTGTTTTGGATGCATTAACTCAGAGCAGCCAGAAGCAAAAAAAAAAAAATGTGTGAGAGAAACGCTGGGAGAATCTTGTCCTGGAAAAAAAATTCTGCAGAGCTCATGCTTAAAAAAATAATAAAAATAAAACAAAAAGAAGAAGGAGCCAGTGAGCTTCAACTTTTAAAAAAGTATTGAAGCTAAGAGTAATCTGCTAAATGTGATTTTGTGTATTTAAATGAGCTTAAAATGGAATAGTACTTTAAGTGTGTTTAACTGATTTGTGGTGGCTATATATGTTATTTGATTTCAAGGGTAACTTCTAGTTATTTAAAATATTAAAATTTTTGGCTTATGTTAATTTAATTTAGGTTCATTGGGTTTCATTTTCCTAAAATTTATGTGTTTCCTGTTTCTATTCTAAGGTTTGTCACATGTTTTGACCTGTACAATTTTCAAAATAAAAGACAGAAAAGAATGGAATAATGTTTGGTCATTGAGAGAAGTCCAGTTGAAATTCTTCTTAATCAAGCTTCCTTTTAAAGTGGAGAAAACTGCAGATTAAAGCCAAAATTACTTGACAGTGTCTTACCATATAATTACTTTGGTAAAAGTCTCCTTTAAAATATGGACATRTGACATTTACTGTACATTTCTGTAGATGTACTGAAAGGTTAAAAGTAAAGTAATATTTTTTTATTAAAGTATGTATATGTTGAAAAATATGGCATGAGCTAGCTATCTGTCTTTGTCACTGTCATCTTCATTGTAGGCAGTCTGACATGTTCTGCCGTGGCCTGGTATGAGGTCCAAAATTAAGACTATTGTGCAACCAGTGGTTGCTCCTTGCAGCAGGAGGCTAAATCTATTCCTAAATCAGCTATTGATCTGATTAATGATAGGCCGGTAACTGAGAGGCTGGCGCTGGCAAATGAGAAGAAGATTTGTGCATCACAGAGGATAGCGACCCACTGGATTGCCAAATCCCTCCACTGTCCATTGGCATGGATAGGTTGGCATTAGCATTGGAGAGGTTAGGAACTAGCATGGATAAGCTGGTGTAATGTAATTACTTGATTGTGGTATAGAATTGAACTTTGTACCTGGAAAATACACAAAACCCTCTCATTTAAACATTTTGTAAAAAGTTTCATCTTTCCTGGACTGAACAGCAGGTGGGGACAGAGACCACCTTCTGCTCTGMCTCATTTTTACATCATCCTGTAAGGGTTGTGTTGTTTTAGTTCAGTCTTCTCTTGACTTTTCAGAGATTTTCACTTGTAACTRATRTGACRTCATTTTGTAGCAGGTAACTCTTACACATTAAGAGTTTAAAATCTTAAACTTGTGGTGTCTTGTTTTTATGCACTARCTTATGAAAGGACCAAAGCTAACCTGAAGGTGCTGCAGTGGCAGCTCTGTGTCATGCATTTTAAATGCGGTTGAAGGGGGTGAACTGTGGAGGGAACAACAGAGCGAGGGAAAAGAAGTTTGTCAGAGTTCATTAAGTATCAAGGGAACATTGCTGGAACTGGCAGCGTAAGCTGCGCCGGGGCCCTAGTGCCATTAATCACGACTGACATGAAACCAGGGGCCGAGGGAGGAGGTGGGAGGAGGTGAGGGGGGGGGAGTCTCTGCACGACTCTGGTAGTGATTATAGAATGTGGTCCAGGCAGCTCAGGCCAGGGGTGTTGAAGGTAAAACATACCACCTCCGAGGCTCCAAAGTTCAGCTAACCTCACACAGATCACACGTTTACTGCAGGGAGACTGAGAGGACCGGAGTAACTGCAGAGCCAGGCCACGAGTCTGGCCTCAAACATGAAGTGCAGAGAAGAATCTGAATCTCCCCTTCTGTGTTTCTCCTCACGTCCAAGAGCTGAGCCTCTGCTTTAATGGTGTGCAAAGGGAAGAGTGGAAGCGATGCAGTAACAGGGCGCCCCTCATATATCTCTGTCGGCCTGCCTTATTTTCCTCCCCGCACCCCCAGATATCTCACCACACCACTGCTGCCACCTTGGAAGAAGAAATAAATGGGAGCAAGAAAAAGAAGGGGTGGGGGGAGAGGAGAGCTTGTGACTCGTGAAGTTGGAGGCCTCTGTTAAGTGCTGTGCTTGAAAGCCCGTCCAGCCTCATTAGCTGTCARTTGTAACAATACTGAGCTGGCAGAGAGGACTGCTCCCAGTCTTGGTGCCATAAATCACAGGCTGACAGGGCCCAGACAGGGCTGGGAACCAGCACACATGCAGGACTGGCTCACATTTGGTCTCTGTGTCCTGGTTTCTTCAACTCTCTCTCTCTCTCTCTCTCTCTCTCTCTCTCTCTCTCTCTCTCGTTCTCTCTTTTAGCACAGCTCATTCTTTTTTCTTTTTTTTACCTCCCACTTCTCCTCCCTCTCTGTTTAACACACTCATGACACATTGCAACATGTCAGCAGATAACATGGGACACACGTGTTCTCTGGTTTTTGAAACATTTTATAACTCAWGTAAAAGTGCATTGACAAGGTTTTTCATTTATACACACACATACAGTAAATACATGTGTATATATACATACACTTGTAAACATGCATGAACATAGTTTGATGGACCCGAGTAAAAGTTCTTTAACATCAAAAACAAAAAGAGGTTGAGACCCATTTATACCTTGTATTGTCACTTGTTTACAATATCATATTAGTTTACATTGCAAAATCGGTAGCAAAACCATGAAGCTACTTTTTAGACTTTACCAGAAAGTATAAATGTAAATAAAATATATCTTGAGATATRTGAGGGGGTCTCAGTTCTCTCATGGGAGCTGCAGTAGTTGATTTGATTTGATTTATTTATTTATTTAACAGGAAAAGATTATTAAAAATCAAGCCTGACTCAGCATAATGGCTGTTTTATAGCAGGTTCCTGTTCTGCAGCACA